ACAGACAGACAGAGAGAGGGAGGAGGAAAAGAGAAACATGCAGATCCTGCTCTCTTGTTTAATCATAACATCCACGTGTAGAATTGCACAGTACCGTGGGATCACAATGTGTTAGGACATGCATGGTATGGTGATGGCAGTGTTTGTACTATCGTGCTTTCAGAATCTGCTTTGTTGACTGGATAGGAGATGATGGGTTGGTGTATTTGTGTTTTTAAGGGTGTGTATTTATTGGTGGGAAATGAAGAGAGCGACCAGATTGCCACACTAATTACTTTAAAGGCGTTGTAGCAGATCAAGGCGCGCTTCTTTCGGCGTGTGCTTTGTAAACAGTTGAATTTACTTACTTTGTTTTGTAATGTCGGCACATTACTGAGGCTACTACTTTATTTAAAGTTAATATAACATATCTACATTGTAATTCAGGCTTTATTTAACCCACTGGATGCTTGAAGTTTCACAAAGAGCGATAGTTACAGCTACTGATCAGCTGGTTTTTGGATAATATTAATATTTGTTTTGAATTCTCTAATATTCTCTACTTATTCCTAGTTTGTTTACTCTTTTATAGGTTGGTATTTTACGTGAATTACCTTTTTTAAATCACATACAAAAAAGGAATGATTTGCATTGTGCCTGTAGACAGATTATGTTAAGCCATAACCCATTCCAACCTCAGCTTGTCAGGCTGGATATAGCTCCGATATAGCCTTTACATTCTCAGCACAACACGGGGACTAACGGGGTAACTGTGTGTGGTTATTATTGCTGGACGTAGACAGAGCATTAATAGCTGGTGTATTGGCTGATATTTATTACCCCTCCTGACCCGCTCTGCTGAATTTCCCTTCACCTCAGCAGCAGGAGAGCTCCTCTGTGCCGCCGAGATGCCTCAGCAGACACAAACGCAAGGAAAGCACGTACGGGGGGGCTGCTAAGTCAGCAGAAATCCTGCCTCCCCCCCACCTACTGTACACATACACACAGCGGCATTGCATAACAGAGTGACGGAAGAGATAAAGAGGACAGTTTTACTACAAGGCTGTGCATGGCTTAGCTCCCTGACCCACATCCTGTCCAGCAACAATGGAGTGACGCTGCGCTGACTGACCACACGCTGGCCGGAGAGTTAGGTCTATTTAAGAAGCGAGTAAGCATGCTTTGTGGTCTTGATGAGACGCCGGCACTGATGGCATTAGCGCACACAGAAAGGACTGTGTTTTTGTAACATGTTGTCCTTACCAAGGTGCAAAGTTTGGCGATAGAAGGAATACATCTGGTGTCCGCGATAAGCCGAATCTTTTGCTTTTCTTGGCTCATTTGAATCACCAAAATAAGTGACTTATGTAGTGTCTGCCTCATCAGCATTCACAGTGCTAAACCTGCCAGAAATAATTAACATCTAAAAGCACAATCAGCGGTCGCAATACAACTGGAAAAGTGGCACTTTAATTTCTAATAAGGTGTGCATGCACAATGTCCTGCACAGTGTCGAACTGTTCACCCGCTGTGCTCCACTGTGGCTTTCCACCAGACATCACATGGGTATATGTTCTCTTTTAAAGCTTTGTGCTTCATGGCTGTATCGCAGTTTATAGAAGCAGTGCCTTAGTACATGCGTTGCCATGACGATGACCAAAAGGTCGTCTAATCAGGCAGTGTGTAATTGTTCCATTTGTACTGATGGTTAGAGATGTAGAGGTTGATCAGGTCCTCTTCAGAGCAGGTGTATGTCTGTTCTCCTTCCTCTTTCCCTGTTCTCCGCCAGTGCAGCACACATGGCAGAGCTGAAGCTGTCAACCACGCAACACTAGCTGTCAAACCGGCTAAGGGGGAGGAGGCGCGGAGGGGCGGGGGGGGCGGGGCCAGTTCTCCCTGGCATTTGCTCGCGGAAGAGTACACGGCGTCCTTCCCCCGCCCGTTCACGACGAGAAAGTCCAACAAATGGTGGAAGAGGATGCGAGTCACGTGACCTTCTTTGTGCTTTCGCGCTGCCGATTTCAGTGAACAAATGGCACACAACTCACGGGCTCGCGAATTACAATCTCGACCCGCCGCGCCTCACACACAACACATGTGGCGGCGGGGAGCTCGTAATTGTCGAGGATCCGTCGAGCATCCGTCGTGTGCACGAAAACAGCAGACACTGGCCGGCCATTGTTGCACCAGCTTGCCAGGCAACATAGTGGCGCCCCTCGAGTGAAAACACCCGCAAAGTGAGCCAACCGCCATCGGGCCAGGCAGTTAAAAAAAAAACAACCGGATTCCTCCTCTTTTCTCCCATCCGGTCGGCACTCTGCGGCACTGCCGGTTGATCGAGGCATATTCCGCGCAGGTCGGCAAATCCTCGCAGCGAAGACGGTAGAGGCTTGACTAGCATCCAGCGCCGTGCCCCGAAACGACAATTATCATGTTTGTTTGTCATTAGTGAAAAGCATCAAGCACTAAATCCTACTCGGTCTGCTAGGAATAAAGCAGGTCCTTCTGCCGTCGAGTCGTTCTCATGGATGAATCTGTGAGGTCTCTGCGGAGCGGCGGGGGGCGAGGTGAGGCGGCTCGGGTGCCGTAGCAGCGCGCAACAGAGCCGGCAGGGCCGCGTCTCGGCGCCCTCTCTGTCGGCTCTCTTTTTTTCCTAGGCTCCGGCTTGTTCTCCCGCGGGTTAATCTACGCCATGGCCAACATCGGCGGACACCTTAAACGAGCGGAACTCACGCAGCTCTCCGCTCGCTCAACAGCGCCCACCCCTGATCACACAAACAGCCACTCTCCACCAGTTTCTCAACGCCGGTCGCCGGTCCGCAAACCTTGGGCGCGTAACGGGCGAGGGCAGGGCGAGCAGGAGGAACGCAGCCACGGGGGAGACCGACGGTGGGGCGAGATGCTCGGAGGCTGATCAAGGGGATGTGAACCTTCCAGCGCTCGGTTCTCCTTTCCCGTCACCTTCGCCAAGGCGCGCACTGCGACGTACGAGAAATATCCCATCTTTTACATTTTGTCTTCTTTTATGAATTTGTTTCTTCTTTCTCCTTTTTTGTGTTTTATTTTTTTTTTCTTATCTGTCTTTGTAAAATCCTGTTGGCATTGAAAAGTAGAATAAGCACAAAACAACAACAGTGCGAAATGTCAGACCCACCTCACCCATTCAAAATAGAAATCTATGATTCTCTGGGTTTAACAGGCATTCCCAGCCATTAGGGCACGGCTATGCGAGTGGGCTTTTCT